GGGACACAAATATAAATTTTGGTAAGATGGGAGCAATTTTCAGCTAAGACAGTTTTCTTTTTCTAATATACGGGGTTCGCTATTTTTGGTTCTTAACTCAATTCTTTTTACAGCTGCTAATTTTCTATCACTAGTCAATCTGGATAATAGCGTTCAAGGTTCATATTCGAGCCCTGAAAATGTAAAATATAGGGTCCTAAATGTCTCTTAAAATGTTGTATGGAACAAGAGACCTTATAAAGTTACTGAAAAGTGTAAATTACAATGTAATTTTAAAGTTCAAGATGACTAACCTTGTGGTATTACTATAATTTGTATAACTATAAATAATAACTTTATTTAAAATTAAATTTAAAGAGGATTAAAGGTGGAATTTTTCTTTGGCTTTGATAAAACTAATAGAATTAAATTTATATATTTTAACTACAACCGGTGTACTTCTGACCAGGATCTCCCAGAATACTCTAGATTTTAGTAGTACTAGTAGAGTAGGCTTACCATGTGTGTTGGAATGGACTTGAAGTTCAAATTATCCAGCATTTTTTAAGTTGTTGTTTACTCTTATTCTCAATTAACTCGAAAAAATAAACGTAACGTTCTTTTACAAGAAGATTAAATTACTGATTTCAAGAAATCCGGATAATTCACCGAAACCTAATAAAAATGTTTTAACAAAGTTTCTAATAGAGCAATGCCTCTTTTTCTTTTTAAACTTAGTCAACTTCGATGAATTAAAATTGCAGCTCATATATACTATATATCTGTGGACTGAACCAATCAAGTTAAGTCCACGTCTACTATCGGATAAATAGAGGGTACTACGATCGCATAATTCTATGTAATTTAACCAAGCGGTCAAATATATATATATTTCAAAATGTTTTTTGCATAATGAAAAAAAGCTTATGAAACTGGTGTAAGTTTGAATAACGAATACATAACGAGGAATTGCCATAGAAATATAATTTTCATTTTAAAGAATTAGTTTTAATCTATTTTGTCCGACACTTTTATTAGTAGTATGAGTATTCTCTGCAACGAGTCATAGTTTGTAGCTGAAAATACCTTTAACATATTAAAAACAAAACAAAAAGTTATTATGGTCATGAGTCGCTTCATTATGTAAAATAAAATGATTGTATTTTCATAAGTTTACACTAATCCCTTTGCTGACGGTACATAAAGATATATATCAAAGAATACATCTTGCTTGTCTGTGAATGATTTCTGTCTTTAGTGTGTGTGTGTGAACAACCTAATAGGTAGAAGAAGAATAGAATTAACTAGTTGTTATAATCAGACATTATCTGATTATAACATTTGAAAAAGTAACAAGAGAGAACTTAACAATTAAATAAAGCTGTTGTATTAGCACTTCCTGTAAAATCAAGTCTATCAGTAAATATAAGATAACTTGTAGAAGTCGTAATTGAAGAAATAAAATGCTTTTGTTAGCAGTAAGTGGACTAGACTTTGCATTGCTTTTTACCAAATAATCCAAAGGAACATGCCCAACAGTAGAAACAGTTGCAATATTGGAAGTGATGAAACAGTGGAGAGGTGATCAAGATGAAAGAGACAAGAAGTTAAGAGAGAAATTATATAAACAAAACATGAAGTTTACAGAAGAATTGCAAACCCAAATGTGTGTGTGTGATGGAAAATAGGATAAAAAGTGTACAGACTAGTAAATATACAAAAGTATTATAACGACAGATTTGAAGAAACCATAGGAAAGGTACAGAAGGATATGACTATAAGATCAAAGAAGCCATGGGAAATGTAAAGAAGGTATAAAGGGTTATAGTAAAGGAAATAAACGAGTTACAAAAGAACACCAGTGCCATGATAGAACATTTGGAAACTGAATTCAAAAATGCAAGAATCAAATCAGCCACAATTCTTTCTGCACCCACTCAAATATTTCAACCTCAAACACAATTAATCATTCAATACGAAATAGTCAAACCCATCTAGTCTACACCTGTTACCACTATTGCTGTGCTGCCTTTAACTGCAGGACCTCCCTGGTCTACTACAGCTACACTACTACTCATCAAGGTTTGGACTATAGCAGTCTGATTAATCAACATCGCCCAATTAAAAAAACAAACAATATACTATGATGGTAAGACGCCAAGAGAGGTATATAAAGTGCAGTTTTAAAATATTTCAAAAGTGAACGGATAGAAAAGTGAACAGCAACTTATGCACTTTGCTACTCATTTAAAAGGCCAACTTAATGACATTTAGCAAACTTTCAATAGGGAACCATAACAGATATCAGGTATTGGTGGCCTCCTTATAAAATAGATTTGGCATGTCATATGTGAAGGAAGTTTCTAAAGCAAGCTCAGGAGCAGAGTAAAGAGAAAAAAAATCAAACATTAGCTGAACTTTGATGAGAATGTGGAAAGACGCCCAATTATCTTATCCAGATGCTCCACTGAAGCGATGGTTTGTTTGTTTTTGAATTTTCACGCAAAACTACACGAGGGCCATTTGCGCTAGCCGTCCCTAATTTAGCAGTGTAAGACTAGAGGGAAGGCAGCTAGCCAATACCATCTACCGTCAACTCTTGCGCTACTCTTTTACTAACGAATAGTGGGATTGACCGTCACTTTATAACGCCCCCACGGCTAAAAGGGCGAGCAATTTTGGTGTGACGGGGATTCGAATCCGCGACCCACAGATTGCAAGTCGAGCGCCCTAACCACCTGGCCATGCCGGACCTTCAGTTCTGAGCCAATTCTCTTTTTATGTATTAAGTTGCATACTATTAAATTTTTAACAACAGTATCCTCTTGTTTTAAATTCATCATTAGTAAATCATTTTTAGATATGGTGAAATCAGTCATATGTGCTGTCACTCGAAAGGTGAAGATCCATATTTTAGAATCTCAGATTGAGAAGAAATTATATTTGAAGATATTGTTATAAGCTATATTTTTTAACGTTGTCATTCGTTTGTTAGCTAGAGAGAGCCACATATCGTTATGATATTGTTAAGTTAGGCCAAGAACGCCTAGAATATTCTTAAGGATTTGACGTTTGAGTTTTTCTAGTAGCTTCGAAGCTATATTATAAATATAAGCATAGGAAGGAAATGGCTAAGAAGGTAGTAATGTAAATCAGTTAGAGTGTATATTCATAGTTTGTTTTCAGTCGTGAAGTACAAGAAGTTAGTGTAGGTGGTGTTATTTGTAAACGTGGCCTAATAATTACCACATTGTTTAAGCTTGTAGAAACAACTGGGCTTTGAATTGCTTTCATTAGATAATTTAAAATAATTCGCCCACAAGAGAACAACGTTACAACAATATATATATATATATGTATATCACTACATAAACGTAAGCGTTATATTAGTTTATAATACTGTGCAAGGTTTTCTAGAATATTTCTACAGAATAGCACAGTAAACCTAAAACTTAATTTATGTTTTATATTTATGCATATATCGTAATTAAAGTACGGTGATTTTATAAACATGATATATTAGTATTTTCTAGAATTTAATATAAATAATTTTTATGGTGTTATGAGAGTGGATAATTTCTGTATGTACATGCTAATAAGAACTTTTATTTGTTAAACAATTGTATATGGTTATTGTTCTCATGCTATCTTAACATACAAATTTGTGCAGTTTATTTTTTGTATTTTACCAAATCCAAAACGTTCATAATTGTTTTGTATTTATAGTTGATAAAATACCCAAACTTCTATTCTGTGCAAATTATGATAGAAATAATGAAACAATGTCATTTGTTCCAGGTAGGACTCATTTTTTTTCAACAACCCTTTTTGAATACATAATAACTTCATTTATGTTTAAAATGCGTTCACAATAAGGTTTTAGTTTAAATCATTCATTCCTGAGCTATGGCTCAGACATTTCTTTACTTTTTGGATATTATGAAGACTAGAAATTTAATGACGTTTAGTGTTTGAATTATTGCAAGAAGTAAATAGGCTGTTTTCAAACAGTCTTTATTTTGTCATATTTCACTAAAACTAGATATAACATTTGATTTTGCAATAGCAAATCTTCACTTTCTGGTATAATAGTAAGTATAATACCCTGTAAATATATGCTTTGTTTATAACAGAGTACGATAACAGGTAACTTAAGCTTTTAACAAGGAATTAGTGGTAAGAAAAATAATCATTTCAATTATAGTTACTGTACTGTAAGCAGGTACTGTATAAAGAGACAAATCACATCTATATAAAAATTAGTTGTTTCATGTATATGTATATATCTGTATAAATAATGGCTAGGAGCAGGACCAATTAAGGGAACAAGGGGTATGGGGCTCTTGAGATTTTTGGAGTCAATCCAGGAAAAACAAATCCCATATAGACAAGCCATTAATAAATGAAATTTTATCAAGACTTTATTCCAAAATTGATATCTGTATGAGAAATCTGAGAATATATTTCCTGAAGTGAAACTTTTGTCATTTCATTATATGTTAACAATAAATAGTTTTTCAAACAGCTATTAAATCTGTGGATACTTAGCTGCATTAAAAATTATAGTGTCCCAATTATTTTTGGGCCTCGTGGTTAAGGTGCTCATCTCACAATCTGAGGGTCACCAGTTTGATTCCGTCACCAAACATGCTTGCCCTTTTAGCCATTGAGCCAGGTGTTATTATGTGATGGTCAATCCCACTGTTTGTTGTAAAAGAGTAGCCCAAGAGTTTGTGGTGGGTGGTGTTGACTATCTGCCTTCCCTCTAGTCTATCACTGCTAAATTAGGGACAGCTAGTACAGGTAATCCTTGTGTAGCTTTGCATGAAATTCCAAGTAAACCAAACCAACTGTTATTTTGAATGACTTGGGGCCAGGGATGCAAACCCTTAAAGCCCTACCCTTAATTCAACCCTGTTTATGATATGTTTATCTATTAGTTCACTGGTTTGCCATGCAGTACAGTATAAGAAAAATATCAAGAAGCTAAAACTCCTTGTAGCAAGAAAAACGTCTAAATTAAAATATTGTTAACATAATCCACAACAGTATATTTTGTAGTAATGATCTGAACATATATTATTAGTAGAAAGGAAGTTTGGGTCATATGAGGTTTTCCTTTTCTCCAAACTTTGGTTAAAGTTTACTCATATTTCAACAACAGCATTAGCTTAGGTACATTTTATTTAACATGTCTGAAGATATATTTACCTCTTTGGTTTGAGTGTATTTTTAAGTAAATTTAAATGAAAAGACTTGTGACAACAATTTTTTAAGGAGTGTTCAGTACCTGTTTATAAGGTATGGTAAGCAAAATTAAGATGGTAATGTTATAATGGATGCATTTGATCATTTTATGTATTGATTATTTTTTCTTATAATAATTCAAAACATTTCTGTATTGTTAAGACATTTGATTTTATCACTGTACACTTAAGTAACACTAGGTCACTGAAAGAAGTTATCTAAATTAAAACAATTCAGTTATTTCTGTTTACAAAGAAAATTATTTATGTTAATTTCAATTTATTAAATTAAAACTTTTCTATGAATTGCTTATAGTAATGCAGATATAATTGTTTTAAACCAAACCAGAAATGTTGTTTCACACACACACACACTTACCTGCACACATAGATATCTTCAGAAAATTCATTTTTGTTATTTATCAATTTGCATGACCTGGTTTTACTTAAAGCCTTAGATGCCAGGAGGAGGGGAATAAAATTATGTTTTTCACCAGAAATCTCAGTTGGGGAATGATCATAATACAAGACATTGAGTATATGAAGTTAGTTGCTTACATTTGAGTAATGAATTAATGTCAGTTTGGGTGATAGCCACTTGCAAGATGGTACCAGTCTTAGAACTGTGACATAAACGTTTAGTAAAAAAAATAATCAAATGTTTTGAGAGCTAAATTTTGTTGTTTTTTTTCAAATAAGCAATTAGAATGGTTTAAATGGAAAACATTGTTTTTTTCCTTTCTTTTTTTATTGGAGTGATCATAAAATGAAACCTATAAGTAAGATGTTTTAACCATCCATTAATTGTGTGGAATCAATCAGATACTCTGAATAATACAGGATTTCTTGTTGGCTGGTAAGTCATTTTATAATGTATCCACTTCCTAACCAAGATGAGAAAGGACAGATTACATGTTTGCAAGTTGAAATAATCCTGTGTCATTCAAGATAAATGTAATATCTTTCACTGTGTTCTAGCCAGTGATAGGATTATATATTTGTGTTTTATTTCTATTGAGCAGAAGTATTCATAATATATTCTTGAAAAGTCTTGTAAAACATATGAAAATTCGTATTTGACAAAGTGTGGGAACTTTCTGTGATATTAGGGAGTAAGTTGGCCCTGTGGTAGAGCTCTGCATTTCATAGTCGTCCAATACCACAAATTATTTCCCACACTTTAGCTGTGAGTGCATTATAAGAGTGACAGTCAATTCCTTAGCATTGTGCTAGGGTGTTACAAACTAGTATTTCTCTCTCTGATCAGTAGTTTAAAATTAGGAATGATGACAAATAGCCTTAGTATCTATGGTAGTTTTACCATAGATACAAAAATACATATACAGAGTTTATAATACACCCTTAACTTTAATAATAATTAAAACATGAGCAGTTTAAAGATATCTATTTTCATATCCTGGCCAAACCCAAATTTGTATTTTTATCTTGTGAAATGGCCTTGGAACAGACCTACAGTTCACAGTTTTCACTGTAAACATATTAATCAAATCTTCTGAAATGTAGAGATTCATATTTTTTGTCACATTAATGATTAGTGGTTAGTTGCTGTTGCACATCTATTATAGTTAATACTTTTCAATAAGAATAACTGGTGTCACAGTTTTATATTTCATCATTTTTTCTATCTTAAAATTTTATTTTTATGCATAAGTTTAAATGAAGTAATATTCTTTAAAATATATTATTGTGAAGTTTCACATTTGACCAATTTTTTGAAAACTATTCAACTGGTATTTTATATTACTTTATAGTTGCTGTAACATTTTAGCTCTTATTGTAGCTACATGTAATCTGTAAAATGTGTTTAAATAAACAAATTATACAAAATATTTTGCAGCTAATCATTTCCTCATTGTAATATACAATAGTTTCAATTTCAAAGGCTATGTCATAAAGCTGTTATGTTCTAAGCATACTCATCCTCCTTGCAGATTTCCATAATCCATCTAGTGTACAAGGGCAGTAGTTTTCCAGTACCTGTTTCAACAGTCTTATTGCACAGAAATCCATAGGTGCTGCATCTGTTGACTTGACTGGTATGATTTCATTTGGAATAGCATACATACCCATTTCGTTCTCCAGCTGCTTGAGGCATACAATGGTTGAAATGATATTTCTTGGAAGCAACTTGTGTACACTTGGCTTCTGGCACTTTGTCAGACAAAGATACTTGTTTATTATGTTGTGTACTGTACAGTCCCTGAGACATATGAATAGCTTTCGCCACTGGCTTTTGAGACGTATTACCATTTACAGAAAGAAGTTAAAATTCACTTACCAAACTGAGGCCTTGAGATTGATAGAGAGCTAACTAGTATTATACATAAACATTTTTAATACTATATTCACAGAACGTGTGTGTGCCACCTATGCCACTGATGGTCAATCCCATTGAGCTATAAAGGAGGTCATAATCTTGAGATATCACCTAATCTACCATTGGAAAGCAGTTAACATCCTTGCACAATGTGGAGCATTACAGCCACAATCTCCATGGGAAGAAGAAGTGTTATCTTCAGAGAATGACAAAAGAAGGAAGGTAGTTAGAATGAAATAAACTTAACAACTTTATGTTATGTGGAAACTGCACATACTCGGAACTAACTGATAAATTTGTTTTAGTAATAAATTACGATAAGAGGATAGAAAGTGTTCGGTATGTTTATATACCACATTAATAATAGAAATAACTTGTTTGAATGTGTTGATTAATGTCACTATTTAAACTAGCAGAAACGTCGCACTATGGGCGGCTGTTTGTGCTATTAATTAATAATCGTAGTATTCATACTTCACTAAAAAAAAAAAAAGAAAACTTGAACATTTTCTATAAAAAAAATGATTTTTTCTTGGGAAGTACTGCATGAGTAAAGTGTTCTGATTGTGTTCTTCAGTCATACACAACTCACTGCATCAGAATAACTCAATGTACAGAGCTAAAAAAATTCAGGAATGTTACTGACATAAATTGTAATGTTTTATATAATAAAAGTGCTACCTTTATTGAAAAAATAATTTTTAAGAACTCCTGTTTTTTAGGGCTACGCATAAAAAATGCATCAATAAAGATCTAATCAAACCCTCTCGTACAGTCCTAGTGAAAGTCGTATTCTTGTTCTGAAAAAAGTAGTTTTAATTAAAACTGTACTCTGTTATAAAGAAATGGTTCTTGCACTACCACAGTTGCCCCCCAGTGGCACAGTATGTTTGCAGACTTACAATGCTAGAAACTGGATTTCGGTACCCGTGGGGGGCAGAGCACAGATAGCCCATTGTGTAGCTTTGTGCTTAATTACAAACAAACAAACAGACGTACCACAGTTATTTTTCTAATTCTCTGAATTTTGAATACCCAAAGTATGAGATTTTATGAATTTTTGTTTGTGGTGCCATTTAATAGATGGCGCCACCTTTCTTAAGCCTCAATCACCACATGCAGACAGATATATTGTCGGTAACGCCATTGCTCCATTATAGTGATATTGTAGAAAGAAGAAGTAAAGAGATGTCTATAGCAGTAAAGTACATGTGAGAATGTTGCTATATGTTAAAGTACATGTAAGAATGTTGCTATATGTTAAAGTACGTGTGAGAATGTTGCTATATGTTAAAGTAACATATAGCAACATTCTCACACGTGTACTTTAACATATAGCAACATTCTTACACGTACTTTGTGTAAGAATGTTGCTATATGTTAAAGTACGTGTGAGAATGTTGCTATATGTTAAAGTACGTGTGAGAATGTTGCTATATGTTAAAGTACATGTGAGAATGTTGCTATATGTTAAAGTACATGTGAGAATGTTGCTATATGTTAAAGTACGTGTGAGAATGTTGCTATATGTTAAAGTACGTGTGAGAATGTTGCTATATGTTAAAGTACGTGTGAGAATGTTGCAACATGTTAAAGTACATGTGAGAATGTTGCAACATGTTAAAGTACGTGTGAGAATGTTGCAACATGTTAAAGTACGTGTGAGAATGTTGCAACATGTTAAAGTACGTGTGAGAATGTTGCAACATGTTAAAGTACGTGTGAGAATGTTGCTATATGTTAAAGTACGTGTAAGAATGTTGCTATATGTTAAGTGTACAGAAATATAAATAAGAGATTGCTTAAAATAGAAATATTTTGTTTATTTCTGTTTTCCTCCCAGACCATAGATGAGGTGGCAAGTGAAATTTTAAAACGGTGCATCCATGTTGCCTGGCTACACTTAGAGGAAGTTTAGGTGTTCTCAGTTTCTGACGGTGAATTTAGATTTGTTTTCTTGAATTTTCTATACATAAATATATGTCTAAACAAACTAGAACTTAATTGTTTTTAGTCAGTGGTGTAATTGTGTTATATTGACTTAATTATTATATTACACTACAAAAAAACTTCAACTGTAGATATATATATATATTTATATACTTGTTATAATAGTAAAAATACCAAAGAAGGGTTGCAAAGTAAATAATTCTGAATTTACTCGGTGTATTTACATGGAATGTGGTAATCTTTTAGTAAAATATACAAGTCTGTTGTACACAGAAAATACAGATGTGTTACCAATGTATGTGTGAATTGACGATATCAGTCTGACAATTCGGACTGCAAGACGATGTTCATATGTGAAGAATAAAAAAATTGTCTATCGAACAGTTTGCATATTCCATATGTCTGACCTTTAGAACTTCCAAAACGCATGTATAAATTTTTTTCAGTATCCCTGTACACTGTATCTGGTATTTACTCTTCTCTACTACCAACTAACACTAAATCAGCAGTGCTGATTACAATGAATAGTTGATAACCTGACATCAAATACGTAATACCGTGTTGAATGGCTCTGTGGAGAAGATCGTGGCTTGTGAACTTTGACCCCCACAAAGCGGTTGTGAATCTTTTCCTTTAATAAAACACAACATGAAATGTCTATTTAAACAAACATACCCCATCAGCATTTGCATGCTTCGAAACAAGGTAAAGCTGACCATCTGATGCGAACCCCCTCATCCCCCAGGGAATCCTGAACATGGCTGTTTGAACGTTGTATTTCAGTTACACAGTATTTTCAATTCTTGAAACAGGTATAAATTAAACGCTGGGGAAGATTTAAAACCTGTGTGTTAGTTAGCAGTAATATGTTTATCAACTATGGTATTATGATTAAGAAAAAAACAAGTATCATGTATACTGCTAAGCTTACTTGAACTGTGACTTATCTCTATTTATTTCCCGGTGGGATAGCGGTAAGTCTTCGGATTTACAATGCTAAAATTAGGGGTTCGATTCCCCCTCCGTGGACACAGCAGATCGCCCGATGTGGCTTTGCTATAAGAAAACACACACACACAATATTTTTATTTATGAGATTTTTAATGGATTGACATCTGGGAATAAGAGCAATGTTTTTCACTTTAACTTTCTGGTTTTTTACAATTAGCATATGTGATGTTTCATTAATTAAGACAGATAAATGAGGACTGCCAAGAAACTTTAAAAAACGAACTCAAAGAACAACTGTTTTAATACCATGTACTTCTAAGCAACATCATTTCTAGTCTCCCATTGGGTCAGTGGTAGGTTTCCAGTCTTAAAATGTTAAAACCCGGTGCTCGATACCCTTCAATGGATAAAGTGCAGATAGGCAATTGTGCAGCTTTGCTCTAAAAAAAAAATCAAAAAATTTTAGTTCTGTGCACATAGTTACAATGGCCCTCTGGTGGCGTAACTTGGCTCTAGAGAAGATACCATACCTAGAAGCAGTACCTTATATTTTTCAGTAATATTTATTTCATGCACATAGTTACAGTGGCCCTCTAGTACCGTAACTTGGCTCTAGAGAAAATACATATCCATTTTTAGCAGGTCTACAAATATAATTAGGTGTTGTTTTATTGGAATCAAGTAATGTTTGAGCTGAAATAGTTCTAGCTTCATGCTCTGTCATAACATTTTTTTAAAAAAAATACGATATAGCTTAACACAATTTTTTTTTTTTGTTAGAACAAAGTCCACAACTGGAATTGTGATTTTAAGACTTATTGAAATGTATAATTTATAATTTTTCCTGTTAAGACATCTCGTATGAACACAATAACCAGTTATGCGAAGAAAATAAACTCCATGTTTTAAGAATTGTTAATAGTATTGAACAAAACTCTCCGTAATCGTAATAGGTTCAACTGCTACAAGAACTGCGCGATACATCTTTTATTTACCTGCGAGATAACACAGTTACATCCGGTTTCTGAGCTCGTACCTAAAACATTTCAAGCTTCTTTTTTTTCTTTCGTGACGTAAGACTGAATTCAAACTTTACAGTTAATATCAGCTTAATTTTACTTCACTTTAATTGTATCCGACGTTTCGCCATGATTTATACGTAAAATATCATGGCCTAAAGTCAAAGTACAAACGAGTACATATTTGTCATGATATCATTACACAGTAAACTAAAGTTAGTTATCACTGAATTTGTAGTCTTAGGTTTATAAGTACATACTGCTACGAGCAACGTTTAATATTTTTGATCGATAAGATATGACCTTTAAAAGTAGCAGCTCATAAACTAATATAGGTGAGTCATAACGTTTAGGCACAACTTTAATTATCCTGATCTTTTTTTTATTTTAAACCTATTTTTTGACAGTTTTGTTACGCGTGGGTTTGTATAAGTGTAACATTAAGATCAATTTCGTAGCAACCATAAGCCAGGTGGTTAGGGCGCTCGACTCGCAATCTGTGGGTCGCGAGTTCGAATCCCCGTCATATCAAACATGCTCGCCCTTTCAGCCGTGGAGGCGTTATAACGTAACGGTCAATCCCACTATTCGTTGGTAAAAGAGTAGCCCAAGAGTTGGCGCTGGGTGGTGATGACTATCTACCTTCCCTCTAGTCTTAAACTGCTAAATTAGGGATGGCTAATGTAGATAGCTCTCGTGTAGCTTTGCGCGAAATCCATAACAAACTACTTCAATATTTATATTTGAAACTTTAAAAGTATATGAATATAAATGTTATTTAAGTCACATAGGATCGACCACTAGGTGGTTACTACTTCACATACAGATACATAGACATTTTAAACTCTACGTAGTTTTCCACCAATAAGAACCATGTTCAACATGAGTGTAATACACCTCTAAGTAGTGAATAATTTAGAATCCTCGCAAAATAAAATTATAAACGATAACTAGAACTAACTTCGAAGTCGAATGAACGAACTCGTGAAGTTCATGTCGGTTGATGAATAGACTTAAAACAATCCCTGAATGAACGAATTCTTGAAGTTCATGTCGATTGATGAATAGACTTAAAACAATCCCTGAATGAACGAACTCTTGAAGTTGATGTCGATTGATGAATAGACTTAAAACAATCCGTGAATGAACGAACTCTTGAAGTTCATTTATTATTAAGTCTTTAGTGTTTTTACAAGAACGTGGTAAAGCTTCAGTGAGTGTTGTTCTTTCTAGAAGAACATTTTGTCAGCAACGAAACTATTGTGATACGTTTTAACAGTGAACCCAAGATAACATGTATATGTATATATATATTTCAGACTGAAGTTAGTTAGTTAGTTATCGCATTATTTGTGAACAGAGATGGTGAAAAGAGGGCGTTATGATACAAGCTTTACAATCGTTTAGATTGCTCCTTTTCCTCGGTGGGACAGCACTAAGTTTATAGACTTTCAGCGCTAAAATCCGGGGTTCGATTCCACGCTGTGGACAAAGCAGATAGTGACTTTGTTCTAAAACAAACAAACAAACAAAGATTGCTCCTCTGACTATCAAACGTGACTTACTTTTTTACCATTAATTACCGGTGGGTCCACGTATTAAGTAATCATGTTCAGTTATTACTTAATCCAAACAAATGACGAATGAAGTTGAGTGAAAACTCCCACTTGTTATGTAAAATACACAGAGGACCGCGTTAGCAGTTAGTGGATTGATGCGATATTGATGGTATTTATTTATTTTTTGGCGTGACTGATACGTCATTAGGGACCCTGTAATCAAAAGAATCGTGGACTCACCAGCAATTTAGCGTTTCAACAGCGATGTTGTCTTCAGTAGCTCATGAACTAAACTCAAACACTTTGTATTCATGGAAACCGATATTTCGTTTCACAAATAACCAACTGTCTCTTCGGCCTGGATATACATAAGGTTGTCTTAGGGTCACGGTTAAAACGAGTCGTAACAGTTTCGTTGTACTTCTACCCAAGTGTTCTTCAACTTTCACATCTTTTTATCTGACTACTTACTGGGCTACAGTTATCCTTTTGATGCCACATTACTTCTGTGAAGCTTGCTGTCCTTGACTGTCCATAACAGTTTCGTTGTACTTCTACCCAAGTGTTCTTCAACTTTTACATCTTTTTATCTGACTACTTACTGGGCTACAGTTATCCTTTTGATGCCACATTACTTCTGTGAAGCTT